TTAATAAATAAAATTAAATTTAAAAATACTTCTAAAATAATATTTTTTATCTTTATCTCATCCTTTTAAATGTCTATTAATGTGTATATATTTTATAATGTACATAATATTATTGCAGTAGTAAATTTATATAATTTACAAATAAATGTACATATATTGGGAGAACGTGTTCAAGAATTTTTTACCGATATGGGTGCACAATTTAAAAAGTTTGGAGACCACTGCTATGGAAGTAAGAAGTACTTACATACTTAAAATACATACATGTATTTTAAGTCTTAAGCTATTTGTGTCAGAAAATCCACCCCATTGCCACAGTGCATGCTATAGCATATACCACATCTGCTGCTGAACTCACCTGGCACGGAGTCGGGCCTTGATGACTGACACCGGGACTGCCTGCACAAACTGCTGCCGTCGTTCCCCATGGTTAATGGTCTAACCAGAGAAAAGTGAGGGTGTGCCGGAGAGTTTGGACTTTGGCACCAGGGACTCTGATTAGGGAAAAGGGATGCAGAAGTCTCTTTCTCCCTGTAAACAGAAATTCAATTAAGTTTACCGTGTGTATTTCACACATTTTGCACATGCATGTACGTGCACAGGATATAAAATAAAATGTATATTTTATCTATTACTGCATTATTTATTGTATTGCATTAGCATATTTATTATTATATTTTGCATAGATTTACTGTGTTTACTGCACACATACCTTAAATTTATGCAATATACTTAACAAACAGCACACATATATTTAACACAGTCTGCATTTAGTTGTAGATGAAAGAACTGCAACTTCTATGTATTTTGACATATCACATTATAATTTACCATTTGCCTTTGGTTGTAGTTCTGCCAGACTTGAACTCTTTGCACGGAATTTTTACATAATTTCTCCCTGCTTCTGACTTAGTTTCTTTGGAGAGTTTGAGCAAAAGTCATTTAGACATTTTTAAGAACAAAGCTTGAGAAGAAAAGACAGTTTAACCTGTGCTGAGAACTGTTCATCTTCTGAACCTCTCCAGCCACAGTCTGGAGAAGAAATTTAGAGAAGAACAATTACCCCAACCATGAGAAGGGTCACCCACTTTCTTTGTGAAAATATATCCAGATTGGCAAATCATTTATTTTTGAAATATATTCTGGAGGGGACTTGGAAAAAAACACCAATATTGCATTCCTTACTCAAAACAATGAATGGCTCAGCTCAGGGGTTTCTGACTGAGACCTGGGTGCCCAAACTAAGCTGCCCACAGCTAGACCAATGAACCACACTTTTTCATAGTGCTGCCAATTTTAAGTTTAATACAAGGGCTAGAAGCCAGTTCAGAAGCAATTTAGAAAGCAATGGTTATCAGTCCCTAGCCCAATTCAAAGCACATTAGGCTGAGAGAAGACCAAGTTCAGGCCCACCCTTCTCAAGATGAAGGTAAATAGTTCTGCAAACATCAACATTTTTGGCTGAAAGCCTTCCAAGTTGTGATCTCCAAATAGTGCCACCCAAACAACTTGGGGCTCAAATGATAATATGTAATAACAAAGTCACATTTTAAGAAGAATTTTACTTGGATTTTACTTTCCACTTAGTCTTGACTGACAATGAATGCACTCCTATCAGGAGTTTTGGGCTATATTCCTGTTTGAAGGTTAAGGTTTATTCTTAATTTTCAAAATTCCAAAGCTTTTAAAAAATTTCTTACCAAGATGCTCGTTTAAAAGCATTCACTTAGAGAGCCAGTCTGGCACAATGCTGCAATTACAGAGTACACACAATGAACGTCAGATACCTTTTAATGAAGCTTTGTCGTCTTTTTCTTGTTTGCCATGGGTCAGCCCTCTTCCACTCTGTATCAGTTATTGTAAATTCCTGTTCATTTCCCCATCCCTGTTTTTGCTTCATTATTGAGGAAGTTGGTATAACAGCATTCTCAAATTTTTCACTTTCCTCTTTTGCCACCCATCCTTGCCTTTTGTTCCAGTAGAGAGGAGTGTACCAAGCCACAGCCTGAAAAAAAAAAAAAGAAAACCAACATATCACTGCTTATTTATATTCTACATTTTTTCATCAAGATAATTGTTTGTTGTAGACAAACCAGGAAGGGCTGAAAGGGTAGGTGTTCCAATGTACTTCTGAGTTATTTATCATTTGAAAGCTAAATACTAATCACAACCACCAAATTCCAGCTTTTCTTTGGTCTCTAAAATCCATATCCACTCTTTAAATATATTTAGGGTAGACTCATCATCTAAGACCCTTGAAATTCCACTGCTCCAATTAAGTAAACTAGACAAAGGAGAGAAAAGAGGACATGACAATTCTGCAAGTATGTCAAAGGCTGCTGAAGGAAGAAAAAGCAACCTGTTCTCCATGTCCACAGTGGCTAGGACAAGAAGGAAAGGACTAAAACTGAGGCAGACAATGCTCAGTTTAGGCACTAGGCAAGCTTTTCTGCCTGGGGACATGGTGGAGTCTCCATTACTGAAGGTCCTCCAGAACTACCTAGGCAAGCTCCAGCCAGGAGCAATCCTGGCAGAGGTAATCATGTCTTAAGTTCCCTGTCAGCCTCTGATCTCTTGGCACTGATGTAATAGCAAGTTTGGCCAGACTGAGCTAGAAGAGGAATAAATGTGAAAAGGTGAGACCAAAAGTCAACATTCACTTAACAGTTTGTAAGGTGCAAATTATGGTCCCTTGGGGAAGCTGTACAAGTTACACTGTTTATGGAAATCACAGGTCTTTTCCATATTGTCACTAGTTCGAATTTGTCTAGCTAAAAGTGATCAAAACCATAGTTGCCATTGGACAACTAGAGCGTAAAAAAATGGTCTTGGGCTCTTTCTCATCCTCGAATCAACAGAAGTTTGCCTAATACAATTGCCAAGCCAATGGCAGTTACTAAAGGACAGTCACGGGCTGAATAGCCCTGGGCATAGCTGGATCCTTCATGGCTGAAATACAGTGGAAGAGAACAGTGGGCTGGCAATTCATACTTGTAGAGCCCCTGCTTCAGTCACTGTGAGGATGTTAGCCTTTCATTCAACAAGTGGTCTCATCAATCTACTGTTTTTCTTCAGTCCTTCAGATCCTAATAATTAACATCCACACTGAAGCCAGTTTAATAGAGAGAGATCACAGCTTTGCTCTGTGTGGATTGCTTGTGCTTGATTCTATGAGGACTTTAACAACATGATCCTAAATCTCTGAAGGAAGTCTGGCAATAGAGCTGTCTGTGTAAGGAAACACAGTGATTTTGCTCGGGGCACTCACCTGACCACTAGGCTCACAGAGAATGGTAGCACAGTCAAGGCTTGTCCTAAATTTCTCCAGGTCCTTCCAAAGAAAATCCAAGGGAGGTTTGTGAAGCACTGTAGCATCTGCTGCCCAAACCTGCAAAAGATCAAGCAGCCATTAGATTAAAGACAAAATGGCACCTGGATATTGATACAATATAAGAACTCAGTAAAAACATCAGGTTTTCCTTTCCCTTTTGGATTTTTGTAACACTGGTCACTATTTGATCTGTGAAATCAAAGCTGAAAGAAGTATACTTGAAGACTCGCAGCTTAGTGTGATTATTTTCAAGTACCTCTCCTGTGGATTAACAGAGATTAGCAAAGGCACATTTTCCAAGGTGTGATAGTAAATCCTGGGCTTTTTGGTTTGGCTTGCTGAAAGAAAGATTAAAAATAGGCAGTTTCTTTTATTTTCTGAATTACCAGGGGCATTGGAAGAGATCTGTGATATCAGCTTTAAAATTCCAGTCTCTGCTTGATTCTGGATTCCCTCTGTTCAGGGAGAAGGTCTCTCTACTGGAGACTCAAAATTTTTTGCACTTTTATCCTTATACAAAAGATTTAACAATGTTGTGCTTTATAAGGTGAACACAATTATCTGTGACCTTTATTGCTAACACAGTAGCAAAAAGACCCGTTATGAAAACATTTCTCTTGCATAAGAGAACCACAACACACATTTGCAAACTTTGTCCCCAAAGGATTTGGCATTTGCCATCTGTGAGAAAATGGCTTCAACCATTTCCTGGGAGCCAAAACAAGTCTCATTCAATTTTTAAAGGAGAAGTATCTCAAAAAAAATAAAATGCTCTCTTCCAAAAGTGCTTGCCATACGGCACTCTGCCAAGGTGTATTTGTGGCTTTTTCACACATACACCAGAAAACAGAATTGACTGTGGCTTTTCTGGGCCACCGCCAGCTTGCATTTCCAGCTTTCTTGTAAGAGGGCTCATGTAGGGCTGCATTGAGCTTGGTGATGAGCATGGACTCTGCCTCTTTTTATTCTGCGAGGCCTCAATTTTTGTCTCAGAAAAAGAAACAAGCACTGGTGGTAAAAGAGGCTTCAGGCCATATTCCAACCATCTACACTGGCATCTGACTTGAGCATTTTTCCTTGGTTCATCTGTTCCTCTCACAGAGCTGGGGCCTGGAAGTCCTCCCTAGCTGGCTGGCTGACACAGATACTATTGTACAGGAATTTTAGATGCAAGAGTGGCAGCCTGAATATGACCCTTTGAAATTAATAAACCAGCAGAAATTTTCTGCTTGCGCATGCTGAAACAGAAGCTGTGGTGGACCCTCTGCCTCAGTCGTTCACCCAAGAACCCTTTAATGATAATGAGAACAGCAACCTTGTCAATGACTTCAGCACTGATCAAAGCACTTCAGAAAAGACTACTTTTGGGGTGGGTGGGAATGGTTGGTGCATCAAAGCCAGGTAAGATGAAAACATGTCTGGGGAGATCGGCTGTCTTGCAGCCAGCGCAGCAGCCAGCATCTTTACCCAGCACAGCAATGGCTGTGCCCACTCTGAGGGTGGGTACATCCCAGAGGCTGCTGGAGGCCACGTGCAGACACCAGCAGATGTTTCTCAGCTACAGCCACAGCTACAACTGAGCCTTGGTGACATTTAGTTCACACATTCAAGCCTTTTTCATTACCATGGATATCAGATGCATATATTTGTTGTTTTCTATTTAAAGCTTTTCTGGGGTATGATGAAGTCATCTGACTCTTTGCATCTTAGATCCTACCTAGCTCTCTAACTCTTATTCAAACTGGCAAAAAGATACATCTGAACTAGCTGGAGGGGAAGTAATTTTTGAAGAGCAGCAGCCCATGCACTGAATTTTTAATGTATAATTCTGGCATGACATCAACAGAGAGCACATCATTATCTTCTTTTTACAGAATAGGAAACAAAGGCACAGAGTGTCATCATTTTGCCTATAGTCATCCAAGGCAAAGCCAGGAAAAGAGTCCCATTGCCAGAAAGTGGTTTATAGCTTTCTCTGCTGGATAACAGCTGTCCTCAGATAGTGGGTACGGTCTGGAAAGCAACATAATTTTTCTTTTTATTTTAAGTTGAGACCCTACTATAGTGATACTTCAGGCTATACACAAACCCATATGAATTGCTTCAGTAGCAACACATAAAAGTAGTTTCCTTTACAGTTCTACTATTTGTGGGTTTCCTATTCAAGGTTCAGACCCTCTATTGGCAAACGCTGGCACAACTCAATATCCTGACAGTATGGGGAGCTTTTTATGGGAGCAATTGTTGGAAAAAGGAATATATCCAACAAGGATTTTCCAAGATAGCTTCCCATTGCTGGGCAACATGAAATACTGGACTTGTCATGCAAATATCATGCTTGTACTGATAATAGACATTAGCAGCTTCTTCTGAATTCATCATTAGTTGTGGGTGTTAGCCTTTCTGAAAATACAGACTGAAATTTGACTCTATACCATCAGGCTAAGAGTGTACCCTAGCCTGCCAGCTGAGAAAAGGCACTCAAACCCCAAACACTCACCGTCACAGTGGAGTTGGGCCCCATCCTGGTCTCAGGAGGAAACCGAAATACAGCCACTGGTTGACCTTCGACATCCTGCTTCAAGAGATAATCCCCAATGCTTTGCTCTTTTTCAGGGGCACAATTCAGGATTGTTACAAAATGACCACCTGGATCAACTTCAGCGATTTTCAAATTTCCAGTAGCACTGAAAGAACAGAATTTGATGTGAAAGTGTAAAAGCATTGCTTAATTGAAAAAATACATGTATTTCCTTATAACAACTAGCCTAGATGTCAGTAATTAATGGTAAGTAAACATACCACAGGCAGAATATTTTCAGCACTGCCATTCTACTTTTTATGCAGTGCCTTTCATCTGAAAACATCCATTTGCCTTAAAATTAGTATATTCTCTTTCACACTTAGGTAGCATCCATTACCATCAAAAATTAAAAGATTCTTTGTGGGGCAAAAAGTCATCAGTATACCATTTGAATTTATTTTTGTCTACATCTATATAGGCTACTACCTCTAAGGTTGTCTTGGGTATTTAGCCTAGTATGATTAGTGGGAGTTGTGTAGCTGACTCCTTTCATAAGTTTAGAAAAGTCCTCCGGTCCATCAGTATACCTTTCTCCTTCTGCCTCACATTGTTTTTTCCTTCCTGGAGAAAGACAAATCTTCATTATTAACACTTCATTATTAACACAGAGAGACTCCATGCTACAAGACTGAGATTTCATCCCTTCCTTGTTTCAAAATCACAACAAAGCGAGGTCTGTTTTGCATCTGCAGTAAGATCAGGGACTTTTGTGTGAGCAAGGGAACACTCAATCTCCCTTAAGTACTGGAAAACAAATTTATCACTTGAGTGTTCCTTTAAGTAGTGCACATGTCAAGGGAGTAATTTTAAACACTCGGTACCAGATTGTAATACTCATCATATGTCTTATTAGACAGGTTGTGAATGAAGTCTAAGAATCATTCAGCTTTTGATGCGGCATCTACTGCTATAAATTTCATTATTTAGCACTGGTGCAGTGCCTTGTCTGTCTTTTGTGTGTGTAATGCTTTTGCCCTTGCCACATTCGTTTTGTTCCAGTAAGTTTAAGTCATAGACCTCTGTGTGTATAGAAAAGGTTGACCCAACAGCCCAGACAGCCTATGTGCTTGCCTAACATAGCCAAATCCTCATGGACAGTGTGACAAATACTGCCCACCCACCCCAAATAATTCAGCTGTGTGGTGTAGCAGTGAGTCATACTTGCTCACAACAGCCAGGCTGCCTCCAGGCTGCCACTGGCATTGATAGATTTGGAAGCAGAACCATGGGGAACTGCCCCCTCCCCAGCCAGAGAAGACATGAACAGCGAATGTAACACTTGGCTGCCTCTCCTCTGCCTTCCCGCAAACTTTGGGACTCCAGAGCATCCCTCCTCCCACTCAGTCCTGGTCTATTTGTGCTTCATGTCAGCAAGAAGAGACCTGGAGACAGCTTACCAGAGAGGCAGAGCCTCGGAGGGCCTTTGGCAGCCCGGTCAAGCTGAGGGGCTCCTCACCTTCAGACTCTCCCCCTCTTCTGGCTGCTTGCTTTCATCTGCCTGCCACAGCTTGGCATGTTTTTCCTTCCTCCCTGCTCACAGGACCACACTCTAAGCTGGATTGCTGAAATAACCCAGCGTAAAAGTTTTTTGGGGGATGTTATTTTAACCTGAGCTTTTCTGGCAGCCTCTGCAAGCTGCTGTATCAGGGCAGCTGAAGGGATGGACAGCTGCGCTTTAAAACTGCAAAGAGCTGATGCAGAGAATGATTCTTCGGGATCCCTCGGTCTGTAAGTCATCATTTACACATGCAGTAGACATGCAGATGTAAAATGCTGTGACTCAAATCCAGAGTTGCTTTCTACATACATCGCTACAGTCCCAGAGCTCCAGCAGTGGCCTAAGACTCCACTGGACTCTAAAAACAGAATGACACGGGCAACAAAGAGAAATCTCTGACATTTTTGCCCTCTGGAAGGATGCAGAGCCAGTTAATGTGAGAAGACTTTTAAACCATACAGAAGGCAAAGATCTTCCTGATCTCCCACTTCTCTCTATCTGTGCAAGGAAAGTGAAGGAAAAGCTTTGGGTGCCAGAATGTACTTAGGAGGAGGACAGGAAAAAGCAGATGGGGAAAGACACCTCCTAAAACAGTCTTAAAAGGCCATTTGATGATGTAACATTGTAAACAACAGAATCCTGGTTGATAAAGGAGTGAATAATGAAGGTCCGGGGTAGTGTGACGTTCCCTGAACAGGACCTGATGTTGAACCTAGTGAAGCCAGGGACACTTGGGAACATAGAAAACTCCTGTCAGCCAGGAGTTTTTGATACAACACACAGGACTGGTAAAGGAGCAAATGATAGGACATGGTTAATTTGGTGTTGGAAGCTGCTGAAGCATGCAGTGCAGAGCTGTCAGCTTTGGTCCATGCAACTCGCTGCCTCACAGCCATGCTGGCTGAAGAAGGTGGTCAGATCCAAAGCTGCAAGGGGTAAATAGTAAGGTTGGCTCAACCATGCCTAAGGGTGAATCGGGCAAGAGCTGTTAGTGATAAAGAAGAGTAAATGGGCTTGATCATCCTTCAGTCTCAAATGCTTCTCAATTAATTGGGCACTATCCTGTGCCAGCTCAGAGAGCACAGTACTTTTGATGGGTATGGGATGGGAATGCATGATCATGCAATTCTCCTTCCGGGCATGAAAATATATTCTCATTCTGTAGACCACTCCCAGCACCTAGAAGAGCCTAGGAGGAGCTGTCAGCTCTTGATGGTCCTGCTCTGGGTGGGATTTCCAAGGTAATGGCTCTCTGGCATCTCCCTTTTGTTCCTGGGAGAAGCCATCCACCGGTCCCCTGACTCATCCCGGGATTAACAGCAACCTTTATTCTCTTCCCTCACATCCCAAACACAGTCTCTAAGTCAAGAGCCCCTTTTTTGTTAACATATATAAATCTAAAAAAACCTCCTTAAGAATCAGTGTAAGTTTTTCATATAGGCATGGGGTCTGCACATAGCAAAAGAGAGAGAAGTGGAAGAAAAGAAGAAAGGAAGGAGAGCAGGCAGGTCCACATCTGACACCAGGGACCTTGACTCCACTCACCATAAAACTTAAGAGCAGGTACAATTCTCCTCGTTTTACTTACAAGAGAAAGTGAAGCACTCTCACACACA